TATCTTAATGAATATATTGAAATTTTGTAGTTTAGACTTTTGAGAAAGAAAAGGCTTTTGCCAAAAATAAATTTCAACAACTCAAAAAGTGTGTAGTTTAAAATAAGCAAAAAAAAAAAAAACACTTTTTAAGCGCCCAAACTTATCCCAAAATAGCAATTAAGTCCCTAAACTAAAAACGAAGCAGATAAGTCCTCAAACTCCATTAATGATGCAAATAAACTCTTCTAATTCATGAGTGTTCATGCTTTCAAGGTGATATTAAACAAAGCAGAAGCGCTTATTTGTATCGTTAGTGGAGTTGGAGGGTTTATTTACTTCATTTTTAGCTTAGGAGCTTAAATGTTGTATTGGGGTAAGTTTGTGAAAGACATCAAGCAAACAAAAAGAAAAAATTGTGGATGTGTCTTTCTAAGACTTGAATTTCATGTTCAATAAATCAACTTATTTATTGCATGTGCTGGGAAAAAAGCTTTATGTCTGTGATGAACAGATTTTCTTACATCTTCTCCTTCTTTTGTACCCTAGAAAGTAGAAACTGTTCTCTTTATAATTTTACAACCATAATTTCCATTAAATGAAGCTTACAAAAGCCTTACACAAGTAAATTTGATTGAGATGGAACAAGACAACACCAAATAAAATGTTACAATGAATCAGTAAATGGAAGTAATTTTGCAGAAAAGAAAGAAACCACTGTCAAAGTATACACTGTATAAAATTATACTAGAAGGAAACCAGAACACGAATCAAATTGTACACTATATTCCCATGCTTGGAAGTAGTTTTGCTTACAAAGAAAGAACTGGTATTAGATACAAGTACATCTAATAAGTTAATTCTAGCATTATTCTGAACGGGATTGACAATGTGAATCTAATTGTACCTTTGAATCTCCAAAACTATCGAGGACTTAGCTCTGTGATTGAAACTTCATTATTTGTCAAAGGGAGTGATTCTTCCTTTGATCTCTTTGAGTTTGATACCCATGAATTGTAGCCATATGAGGATGACATATCTGATTCAATGGTGCTGTGCCTAAAAAATGCAGGTTGAGAAGGCACTGGGAGACTGGTTGAATTGCTACTAAGTGTGAGAACAATTGAAGCCATGGTTGGTCTGTCAGCAACGTTTTCTTGAACACATAGCAAACCAATATGGATGCATCTCATCATTTCAGCCGTTGAACCGTTCCTCAAAATTGGATCTATGAGATTTAATCCAGTCCCTTCCCTCCAGTTTCTCCATGCCTGCAAAAAGTTACAAATGCACATTGGCATGAGGCATCAAAATGTGATCCAAGTAAGAATGAACTTTTATTCAGCCAAAGTGGGAAACTTAACTTTATATTTCCATACTTACATAACTTAGTAGGTCCTCTGTGTTCTCCCCATTTTGGAAACAATTATTTTTTTGACCACTTACAATTTCCAAAAGTAACACGCCAAAACTGAAGACATCTGACTTTATTGAAAACTGCCCATGCATTGCATACTCTGGAGCCATGTATCCACTGCAATTATATCAATGACCATGGGATCATTTTCAAGATAAAAAATGATACTCATGTTCTAGTAGCTTCTTAATGCAATACATAAGAAAGCCATTCTTGGTAACTTTCATGCTGTCAATAAGGAACAGACCTAATTGGATATTTATTTGTGTAAGAACCAATTTAAAGTTTTACTATGTTTGATATATACTTACTAAGTTCCCACAATTCTACTAGTATTGCCTTGTGTTTCATCTCTAACAAATAATCTTGCCATGCCAAAATCTGCAATTTTAGAGTTCATATCTTCATCTAACAAAATATTACTTGCTTTGAGATCACGATGAATTATTCGAAGACGAGAATCCTCATGTAGGTAAAGGAGGCCACGAGCTATGCCTCCGATGATTTTGTGACGACTTTCCCAATTTAGTTGTGCGCGCTTGATTGGATCTATATGTTCATAGTTCATATGAGAGTATGTCACTAACCATAAAAAAAAAAGACCATCGACTAGGATATGAATTTAAAGAAGTTGAGGGCTTTGCAGATGACCAGAACATAAAGGTGTAACCCCTTCAAACATGCAAACTCAAATGTAATTATTTATGAACAGAATTGAAATATGAATCAACAGCAAAATCTAAAAGGCACCTACCAAAAATAAAATGATCAAGGCTTGTGTTTGGCACAAATTCATAGATGAGAAGTCTTTCATCTCCTTCCAGACAGAAGCCCAAGAGTCTTACCAAATTCCGGTGTTGAAGCTTGGCCACTAAGAGAACCTCATTCTTGAATTCTAAGTCTCCTTGTCCAGAACCACTAGATAACCTCTTCACGGCTACTTCTTGTCCATTTGGAAGCTTGCCCTGTATATAAAATCGTGTGGTACTAACTAAATTTAAGTTCATTGAATACCAAATTTCAAGCTAATTCAATACACTCAAATGTTTAATAATTAATGTTGTTTTTTATTCATAACATCCATTACCTTGTAAACTGCTCCAAATCCTCCTTGTCCAAGTTTATTTTCATCACAGAAGTTATTAGTTGCGGCCCGAACAGTGGCTAAGTCATATTGCAAAGACTCAGTTTTGATCATTTCATCTGCTTCTGCAGCTGCCAAAAGCAATACACATGGAATATGGGTAAGAATTAATGGCATTCTCAGTTGGAGGAGTGCACTTCAAAAATATTAGTATTACTTACTTTCAAAATTTTCTCTTGGCTTTTTGCTTCTTAAACAGATCCAAATACAGAAGACAAGTGAGAGAATACCGACAACCGAAGGAATAACGGCAATGATGATTATTCGGGTTGTGTTGCCCGCATTTCCATTTCCTGCACAATCCAAAAGTTTCCACTAATGGCTTGAATTATATGGAATCTAATTATCTTTGACGTTGTAAATAGAAGTGTTATGTATATATATATACATATATATAGACTATGGATCTACTTATACAAAAGTTTTACGTATCATATTTATATAAAATTTTGACCGTTTATTTTTCTATTTTTAATGATTGAGATTTATTTTGATTTTTTAAATGAAAAAGATAAATTATCTTTAATATATATGAATAAACCTCAACTATTGAAAGTAGTGAGATAAATGGTTAAGATTTTGTATAAGTGAAATGTGTAAGATTTTTATGTAAATAAATCCCTCATTTATATATATGACAAATTTTTAGATAAAAAAATAATTATATTTAATAAATATGAATAAATATGAATTATTAAAAGGAGGGAGATGAATAATAAAATTTTTTTATAAGTATGATGTATAAGAATCACGTAAAAGAATGTTGTAGGGTGGACCGGACTTCTTTTAACTATTAATGCAAAGGTGAGCCTAGCATTGGGGATATTTCCGCCATCAATGTGTATATTTGAGGTCCGGTTGAAAGGAAATAAAGGATGAGGCATCTTAGGGTGAGTTTGGATGGTAGGAGTTGGAGAGGAAGGGGAGGAGAGTGAGGGGAATATCTCTCCTCTTTGTTTGGACAAACTAATTAAAGGAAAGCAAATATAAAAAATGTAAAATAAGACTTTCTAAAATTTTTATTTTAACTTTTAAAAATTGAGTAAAATAAAACTTTCTAGCAATTAAGATGTTAAAAATAAAATTAAAAAAACTAAAATACTCTTAATAAATTAACAAATATAAAAAATTCACTAAGGATATTCAAACAATTTTACGGAGAGTCTTAACATTTAAAGTGCCATATTGTTTGGATTTTCACCTTTCTTTTAACTTTTATTTCAATAAATTAAATTAGAGAAGAAAAAATTAGGAAGTCTTAGTATTAAAAATGTTAAGACACCTAATAATAACCATATGATGAATTTGATAAAATTAGACCACATACTATACCCTGCGTATTTAATAGCTGTAATTAGACATCTTAACATTTTTAATGTAAGGATATTTTAATTTTTCATTTTCTCAAATTAAAATTATAAAATATTATTTAATTTTATAGTAAATTTTGTTTAATTTAATTAATTAAATAAAAAATATAATGAAGTTAATCCTTCCCTCTCTCCCCTTTCTCTCATTTTCCTTGATCTTACTTCAGTAACTTCTATTCAAAAATACCCTTCCTATTATCACTTGGCATTAGCCGAGAAGAAAAGAAGCGAACTTTACCTTCTGTTGGAGAAAGTGAAGACGATGGCGGCGGCGGCTGAGGAATATCAGCTACGGCTGCAAAAAATGGACTGGTCTCGTATCTTAAATTACAGCTGGGTTGCAGAACTCTGCATCCGATCTTCCCATAGCAGCCAGAAGGGATCCTTCCGATTGCCGTCGTCAGACAATCGCTGCATTCCAGCTGGGACAGATCGGGAGTGCACTGCTCGAGAGCATAAATTGTCAAAAAGAAACCCGGACCGGTCGTGTTACCCGCTGCATATTTGAGAAGAGGTCCTCCGGCCGCCGCACGGCTGCTCAAGTTATTCAACAAGGGGCTTAACGCCTGATTGAACCCATTTACATCAGATGCGTTTTTAACATTAAAAAGTATAGCCGAAGGAGTGGATTCCATGGATCCAAAGAGTTGTTGACTTGAGTAGTGTAACGTACAGAATTCCGACCATCCGATTGCCTCTTTGTAGGTGGGACATAGCTGCTCGAGCTTAGAGATGGTCTCGTTCAGGCAACTTCTGCAGGCGTCCTCCTTTTGGTCTCCCCTGCAGAGTCCGATTGCGTTGACCTGGTCAGGGCTCCGACCGACGGACAAATTGTAGAACCCATAATTGAAATCGGCCGTGGTGGATAGCTGAGAAAACAAAAGGTTGAGGTTGGTTCCGTAAGCGCTGTTTGCCGTGAAGTTGCCATTGTTAACACAATTAGACTGGAAGTAAGGATCGGCAGCAGAAACGACATTTGTGAGAAAAACAGAGAAAAATAAGATCAGAGAGAGTCCTGAAGATGCCATTTGCCTTCCGTTGAAACCTTCAAAACCCATGTATTTAAAGGGAAAATAGCCCATGACGTCTGATAAAATTGATGTGAAGTTATGAAGTTGCCATTAATTTAATATGCAATTATGAACAGATTAGGAGTGGTAGATGACAAAACTGCCGCCATCCAGTGGATGAATTTGACCATTTGCGCTTCCGGATACCATATTAAAGCATTCACGGTCAAAGGTAAGCATGGTTTAAGCTTAATTACATAGGAATTGTTGACTTTTTTTTAATCTTTTGTGTTCTAAACAAATCCAACAAAAGGGAAAACAAAAGAGTTTTGAGTTTTCTTTCCTTGATAAAACATGTTTTTTGACACTTGACAGTGACTGAATACCTTTCTTTCCTCCCCTAAATATCACCGCGAAACTACATCTTGTTCCAAAAACTGAATGACAAGTCGTTAATGATCATACTTCATAATAAAAAAAGTTATACAGATCGATCTTAAACTTATATTGCTCTATTATTCTTTAATTTATAATTATTTAATTAAATTTATTCATTTGACATTAACATTAAATGAATGTCAATTTTATATTTTTCTATATATATTTATAACAAAAAAATAATTTTAATATGCATCATAAAAGCACACATAAAAAAAATTCTTTTCGAAAATAAAACATTTCAACATTTCAACTACCCTAGTCTATAATATTAAATATTAAATTTTAACTATTAATAAATGTATTTTTATAAATCGTCCTAATTTCTTATATAATCCTATCAAGTAAAAATATGACACGTAAAATAGGCAGAGGTGGTAGTTACAGTATCTTAGATGTAGCTCGGTAATTGAATCCTCGTTTAGTTAACACTACTAGAAAATGCAGTATAATCGACAAAAAATATTGTCGATTATACAAGTATTTCTGTCGATTATATCTTAATCGACAGACATAATCAATAACAATTTTTGACGTAAAAACAACAGTCGAAAATAACTATAATTCACAAAAATTTTTTCTGTCGAATATAATTATATAATCGATAGTCATTGGCTGTCAAATATAGGTATAATTGACAGCCAATGGCTGTCGAATATACTTGGTAAAAAAATAAAAAAAAA